CTTCGTTACGGCGTAACGTAGAATGGAGACCTACATGGCGCTAGGGAGTAAGTAGAGGTTTCCTCTTCCCAAAGAGCGAAACGCGAAAATTGGCCCGTTGCGGATTCCCATTTGAAAGCCATTTCAAGCTGCTGCATAAGATCTCCCCACTACTATGCCCGCATTTCGCGAGATAGGCCCTCTGAACATCTCCTCCTCATGTAGTGAATAGGAATTACAGCACAGACGTACCGATCACTAGCTCCATGGATTGCGCCATGTACTCGACACTCTTGCCAAACGCATCACTCATCCTGCAGGCCACGTCCCTGCTGTGTGAAGTAGTGATCTCTACGAAAACGAGCCCCGACCCGTAGGATCCAAATACGACTCTCCTGTCGTGGTTCCGTGACACATGCTTGACCCGGTCCTGAGTGGAATCTCTGTATGTCCTCCCTTGAAGAAAAAAATTGTTAGCAAATTGTTGCTTTATTTACTCATGCGTCCAACAGATGCGCTAACAAGGGAATGGTTCCAACTTCCCATGGAACTTTGAATGGAGACCTAGGTACATCGATAGAGCCTCGAATGCTGATTACGAATATGCAGATTAAAAGTGCTACGGGGACCTCCCAGACGAGATCTGGGTGGTCAAAGTTTGAGTTCTGGCTCGTAAGCGCTGCTGATCGATGCCGGGCAGTGCCACCGTGGCCTAGTGGTAACGGTCTCGCTTGAAAGTCAAATGCTTGTGGGTTTGCATCCCGTTGGCGCGAAAGTTTTTGCTTCGCCTCCTATAAGAGCTTTTACTCTAATTTTCGAAATTCTTCCGAGTTTACGGCCCAGCAGAGCAAGTAGATCAAGTACATCAAGTATACGACGTACTCGATCTAGTATGGATTTGGTCATATCTGCCCTCTCTGAACATATTACCCATCCGACTATTCAGAATTTTGGCGAAAAAGGAGATTCTGACCTCCTGAACACGAATATCACATCCTTTGACGAGAAAACGCTTGTATGGCCAATTGTGATTCTGGGCAAAACTTCGAACGGTCGGATGGGTAATAAGTTGAGAGAGGGCAGATATGACCAAATCCATACTAGATCGAGTACGTCATATACTTGATCTACTTGCTCTGCTGGGCCGTAAACTCGGAAGAATTTCGAAAATTAGAGTGAAAGCTCTTATAGGAGACGAAGCAAAAATTTCGCGCCAACGGGATGCAAACCCTGAACATTTGGCTTTGAAACGAGACCGTTACCACTAGGCCGCGGTGGCACTGCCAGGCTGTCGATCAGCAGCGCTTACGAGCCAAAACCGAGTTTTTGCAAACTTTCACCAGATCAAGCCCTCGTAAGACGCAAGTGAAAGGTGCCAGATGTTAGCTGCAGCGCAGTAACTCTTGATTGTTAGCTGTAGATGATTTTATTCCTGTCCTAAAAAGTTCAGAAAGTAAGGAGTGACGATGTAGTGACAGTACTGCCTTTGGTTGAATAGAAGTGCGAGTCCAGAGGTTGCCATAATTTCTAAACCCATACTCAACGTGAAAAAATTTCTATCAGGGCGGAGTTTCCTTATTACATTATGTACTACACAAGGTCAGTAAGGTGGGGAAAGCTTTTTCGAAATAGTGACGGGTAAACAGTGCAATGAAGTGATGGGATTTCTCATCGCTTGCTTAGACCAGTCTAACGACAAGTGATCAGTTGGCAGCGAAACCAATCAAGCGAGGCAACCTTCCCTACAGGCAAGTGTGAGAAAGTGCGAAGAGTTACCTCATAACTGCTTCGCCCATTAAAGGCAGCGTCCGCGATCAACCAAAGTGAAAAAACCCTCCAATGAAAACGAACGCGGAGTACGCAACCATAGCGGATATCCCACTCTTGCGGCTCGAAATGTATTGATTGACGAGGGCGGAGTCAACAAGGCTGAGCTGACGCCTCCTTCCCTGTTAATCCCGCCCCGACTGGTTAACAGTTATCAGTGCTTGCTGGCATTGATAAACGCTAAGTTTCTGGAGTTCCGAGCCGGCGACGTGTATTGGAGAACTCACCAAAGGTCTGCGAAACTCGTCCACATGCCTTAAATTTCGTAGGGTCTTATTTCACGCTCTTCCACACCTTTTTCCTGCTTTTTTTTGATTAGTGCTTCATTGGCCACCTGTTCTAGCAAATGTGACCCCTGAAACCTGCCAAAGTCCATCGCGGGCGCTGTCTTTAAATGCGCCGCTAATGACGCGTAACCGCGGGACTGGAGAGCTAGGGAGAACCAAAGAATCGAAACCATGGCAATCAACGAATCCCAAAAGGATTACTTGGTTACCTATGTTCCAAAACTTCTGTCGACCTTCGGATGAAAGCCAGAGTCGTTTCCCACATCATCGAATCCTTTATCCTTTTGAAGGTTGCGGTGGGTAAACTCATCATACACCACTCACGACTGACACAGTTTCATTCATTCTCCCTTAGCAACCCTCAAAAACCTTAGAAAAGAAGGGTAAAACTCACCGGACTGGTGAAAAAAATTGTTTCCACTCCGGTACTGAAAAATCAAACCTGTATTCAACGGAACTGCATTGTATCACACCTTGAACACCTTAATCAAAAAAATTTATTACTTTTTTTGGACCACCATACATCTGAACGAATCCCTCTCTAAACACAACCATGTATTAATAAATAAATATTATACTTTAGTAAACACTTCAGAGCACAATTATTGCAGAGTACTCGTTGACGATTATTTGATCACTAGCCCCAACGCAAAGTTCCGCCCAAAATAAGGGTACAAATAGAGCAGTAACCAAAAGAAGGCATAATATTATTGGACTCAGCTATCACAGAAAACATGTTTTGTTGCACAGTTCGTCGCAAATGGCGTGAAGCCGACTAAGAACTGAAATGCAACGGCAGGAACGAAAGACAACTACACCGAAACCATTGAGTGACCAGAAGAAAACTTGTTATAAAAGAAATGAGGTGGCAGGAGTTGAAAGTGAAGCCAGCTCGCGAAGAGCTGCGGCTAGAAGTTCGGCATTTCCTGAGAAGTACGCCGCCAGTGCGCCTTGCAACTGTTCCAGTTGCTTCGTCATCACCTTCACGCGATTCTCTTCCAACAACCGTAGTTTCACCTTGAAAGATAATAGAGCTAACAGTCATCCTCGGCGAAAGACCATGGGGAAAATATGTGAGGATCTAACAATAAGTAAATAAACAATGAACGAGATTTTTTGCTCGCTTACCCGAACATCGGCCTTTAGTCCTTCATATTTGTCACGATGTTGACTCGCTTTATCGCTAGCGATTTGAATAGCTGTTGGACTGGCTGTAGCGTGACTGTGCAGTGACTCCAACTCATGTCGGCTAACATCGAACTCAATTCGAGCCTGAAAAAAAAACTCAGTAAAATTAAGTTGATCAAAAAGTTTTAATATGGTTTTTGAAAGTTCCAGAACTTTCGATTCTTGATCGATACCAATGATCTACCATGTGGTAGTGGTAGAACATTCTAGAACCTTCTCCGTAATGGGTATATATAGGCGCGCTTCCTCGCTTAATCAGGATGTCAATTCCACGAGAACCATGTTCGATACATCATCTCTTACGAGTGGCGCCGCGGCACCGGAGCGACGGCAACCGTTCGCAACATCAACAGCGTATGGAGGAGGACACCTTTTCCATCACTACGGCCCTTGGCTGGTACGCTCGCTTCAAGGAAGAAGACACGGACTTCGAGGACAAGCCTCGGTCGGGACGCCCCCTCGCCGTCTACGACTCCGTCATTCTCGACGCCGTCAAAGAGGATCCGGAAGTTAACACCCGCAGTCTTGCGACGAGACTTGGGTGTGCCCAATCAACAGTCGTCGGTCGCCTTCAGGCCCTCGGTTACAGAAAAGTGCTGACTCGATGGATACCTCATGTCTTGACCGATAGCATGCGGTACACCCGGGTATCCATTTGTCAGTCTCTCCTTCTCCGCCCACATCGCAAGGAGTTTCTGGAAGGAGTTACTGGACTGGATCCTCTACGACGCTAACAAGCACCGCGCCATCTGGCTCCCGCGAGGAGAACAGCCACCGACGCAAGCCAAATCCGACGTCCACCCCAAGAAGTTTCTCCTTTGCTGCTCCTGGGAGCTGTGACACGAATTACTCAAGCAAGGCCACACCGTCACCGCTCCTTATTACGCTGGTCAGCTGCAGAAACTTGCGGAAGCCGTTCGAGAAAAACGGCCTAGACGAACTTTTGTGCACCTCCTCCATGACAACTAGGCCTCACATAGGTAAGAGACCCGTGCAAAATTGGAGGAGCTAGGCTGGGACACGGTTCCACATCCACCCTATCAACCTGATATTGCCCCCTCAGATTACCACTTGTTCCGGCCCCTCAAGGCTTTCCTAGCAAAAAAACGATTCGTCAACTATGACCACCTTGAACAAGTGGTCGGTGACTTCTTTGACTCCCAATCTCCCCAGTTCTGGGAGAAGGGAATCGCTGACCTGCCCGTTAGGTGGGACAATGTTATGACTAACGATGGTTATTATATTGTTGATTAGCTTGCATTGTTTGCTGAGTTGTAAAATAAAACAGAAAAAATCACCTAATACATACTTCTATAGAAGAAAAGAAATAGTACTAAGTTGTTTCAGAAACAGCTGACTTCAACTTTACTTTGCAAGGTTTTCATGTAATGGCACAAACATATCCATTAATAATAGAGCTTCTTTTACCTACAAGCTCGAAAGGATAAAGCTTTTGCCTTTATCAAACCTTTGCTTTTACCTGAGGACATGTCCTTGCATGAGGAATCGTAGCCGCCTTTAGAAGCCACAGTGCTTCGGACCTCGGCCAAGGAAGCCAAAAAGTGAGTAAAAAACCGAATACTCTACTTTCGTTTTCGTTTGCGATGTAGTGTAACAGAAAACCTACTCCTTCAGTTGCATAGATTGTCTCCAAAGTGTCGACTATGGTTTTTGCATGAAGGGTTTCCATTGACGATAAAAAATATCGTAGGCAACCATCCAGTGCGCTGGCCTGCTCGGCGACCCGTCGCATTGAGTCGGAAGTCGTTGAGCATTGTGGCTGAAAATTCGTATCAAACTTTGAACAGATCCGACATGCTACTCAAAAACATAGACGGGATTTTCAATAGGATCGAAATTCTCTTAGATTACAGCATAATCGAGCTGACAAGAAAACAGTGAGGACCAGCGAGCCAAACGCTGCATATTCAGATAATGTTCTTTGCGCTCGCATCAAAAACTGTACACTTCTGTCGGTTCCTGGTTAATACAGTAGACACTTCCAAGCACTTTGGTAAACAGAATGCACTTCATGAGATCGAATTAGGAAAGTTCTAACCAGGAAAGGTCAACAGGTCAGCCTGGCCATTTGCAATGAGATGCACATCACTGTACTCATCTTGACACGGTGAACTCAGAACTGTCTTCAAAATTTGCAGAACGATTCTCTGAGCGGAGTTATGGAGGTTTTTCTTTACTGTTTTTCTTCTTACGGGCGCGCTGGCGCCGAAGCGTTGGCACATGTAGCGCGACTCACAGCGCTCTTCGCGCAAAACAGATATGATATTCGTGTTCAGGGGGTCAAGTAACCTCTAGGGACGCCACCTCAGCAAAATCTGAGCTTCTGACTTCGAAAAAAATGGGTATGGATAGTCATGGCTGACTGATAGCCAACAGCGATACTATGACTAGCATACTGGTGATGACTGGTCTTCGAACTGAAATAACTCTTCAGTCATGTCTTTTGCAAACAACAGTACCTGGCTTACTTATTTGTGCCGTCTGCATCATTTTCTTGACTATCGGGAGGAAATCCCATTCCGAGACCAGTCATCGATGGTAGGTGAGCTCCAATCTGCTGCTAATTACCCATGGAATAGCCCACATTTTCCAAGTGAGGTCGAAAAATCAGATTCAACCCGCTGAACATGAATATGATGGTATTTCATTGCAAAAACCCTTGTGACACGTGTTACGAGGGGTACAAGCAGAAGCACTCTTTCAGGCCACAATGGGTCTACACTTTAAAACTGATCGCAGGTTCCCTTAGGGTAGTGCAGGCGAGCAGAGATGTTAGAAGCTTTGTCGGCTATGTTCTTGGACAAATGCAAAAAAGGACCTGCCCCGGAACCGATCCTACGACGTCTCGCCTAAGAAACCCGCTCCCTACCCGTTGCGCTCTGCTACCACGTTTCACAACGACTCCATACATGAAAGACGCTTCCACGTTTCCTCGCGATAGCATGTGAAACGACCATGCGGGGATAAAACCCTCCATAACTCCGTTCAGAGAATCGTTCTGCAAATTTTGAAGACAGTTCTGAGTTCACCGTCCCAAGACGCGTACAACGGTGTGCAGCTCATTGGAAATGGCCGGGCTGACCTGATGACCTTTCCTGGTAAGCAGATGAAGGACAAGTTACTGGATAATACAGTTCACGCCCAAACGAGCTCCTTATAAGCGACAAAAGAAATAAGACTATGAAAGCATTCACTACGAAATGACAAACGCATAATTGGGATAATTCATGCATGGTGTAAGAGGCACACCTTGATAGCGACTTCTTTGACTGACAGCTGCTGGAGACTTTCAGCGAGATTTTTTTCGGCCTGGGTGAGTTGGGTGAGAAGATTGGTGAATTCACGAGCAGCGTTCACCACACATCCATACCTACAAACCATATTCGAAAATGAAACAGAAACATGTGAAAATTATGATAATCACCTTTTATGCAAATCCTTAAGATCCTCGCACTCCTTTTCGAACTGCTCATCAACAGTCTTGTCAATCTAAAAACCTTATTAGGGAAAAAAGTGCTAATTATTAGTTTGCGAAGGCACTAACGCCTTATAGATGAACCAGCAATCCAAGCAGCTCCCGAAGAAAAACTTCATTCTGGGATAGCTAAAGCAACGCGAATCGAAATTAGAAAATATAAGCGGAGCAGTTCGGCGACAAGGGAAGGGGGGGGGGGGGGAGGAGGCATTTTGCACTTTTGCTACTTCCCATCGACGTGTCGACCCATCTAGCAGCCTCTTCTCGAATTGACAGGTTTCACCATGATAGCTTGTCGAGCTTGCTGCAGTTTCACAAAAGTTCACAGGTTTCATTCACAGTTCATTACAGTGAGACTTGTAAACCGGAACTAGTAATTCAACGAAAGTGTAAAATGCCCCCCCCCTTCACTGAACTGCGCCCAATATCCGCATTCACTGACTTCGCCTGTTTCGAATCGTCACAAATTAATTTCATAAAAATGTGGCGTTGCTCGGCAAAGAGGAGAAGGGCGGGCGTTTGAAGGTCTCTGTGCAAAACTGCGAGCAACAAAATGAGTTGCAATATGAGATCCCCAAAAATTTTGTTCAAAAGATATAACACCGCTTGCACATGTTGCCCGGACTTATGTTGTACTGTAGGAACCCTGTCCTTTATTACTCCCTAGTGTCATTGATCTAAGCCAAAGCCTGAAAATATGGAATTTACGCCTACCACATCTGCTAAAACTTCGAGAGCCATACTGGGGTCACGGATACTAAAGATTAAGCAAAAAAACTTCAGAACAGTTGCAAGGTTACCTTCCCCATATGCTCCAGCAGTTGTTGTCTCGAATTCTTGAACGTGCCAATGGTCCATTTTTTCAACGACTCAACCTTTGCAACTACGTCGACACTAAAATGGGCTCAAAAGATAATAGTAATTCCTAATCTAGAAGAGAATAAACAGGGGAACATTTATCACTATCATTTACCATACCTGAGACTTGTATTTTGCCTGTTTTTCTTGAGAAATTTTGGCACACTCTTGTAGTGTATCAATATAAAAAAGTGTAGAATACAACAGGTAAGAAATGCTCGAGATAAACAAAAACTCCCCGATAGTAAACCGAACAAATTTAACAAAATGGAAAACTATGAGAGTAGGAGTAGCGACAAAAGCCTCGTACTTTCCGACAGCTTCGGCCATTTTCGGTAAGTTTGGGAAGCGACTCATTACATCTGTGCCATCCATATTGCCGTCGTTCTCAGCACCTTGAAAACGTTTTCCATTACATAACTGCTTCTGAACCCCGTCTAAGTGGCAAGCTTTATATCGGTATGCGACAACAACACAGCCAACGAAGAGCAAAAGTGCACGTTTCACACACCTATTGGGTTGTCCTAAAAGTTCGTGACATTCTCAAACATTTTTTTCGAGTCAGGTTTATTCCAGTGAGAAGCAATTTTGATCAACAATATATATGTTACCTTCATCGGCAACTTGTTGCCAACCACCAAGCAAAGAGTGGTTGCCTTGCTTCCAGAAGCTTTTTAGTTCCGTGTCGAGAAAGGCAGCCGGGTCATTTTTGAGGTGCTTTTGAAAATCGTATTTTTCACCCAGAAGGTGGCCGCTGGAGGGTTAGTTCAGATGGCAGTCAGAAAGAGCAGTCAGGGCTACACGAAGACTGTGGTGGAATTCCCCAGCTAAGCTTCAGGATCTCGAGCAGTGTCATTTTCGAAACGTGTGACCCTGAGCTGTGGTGGAGTAGGCAAACATTGCTCGGTTGTGGGACCAAATGATGGGGATTTTCATCCCCCTTTGCTGTTAATTACAAGAGGACTCGCTGCTTGCCACAGCGTTGAGAGGAAGAAACTCCCTGCCGTAAACCCATGAATGGTTCACCACAAGCACAGTACCACCTTCCTACTGTATTGATGGGATTGCACGACCGATTCTGCCCTTCCTGGAGGATCTAGCCATTGGCGCCTCCGAGAGTGGTTTACACAGAGACACCTACTCCTCATCCAGGCGGGAGTGGGAGTGAAGTTGTATACAGCACCCACATGCACTCCCACTCGAGTGTTGGTCAACCCATGAGAAAAAGAACTTCAATACTTTCTTGAGAGAGTTCACTTAACACACTTTCCATAGACCACATAACTGGATCTCGAAATAGCCACGAGAAAATTTGATACGAGATTTTGAAAAAATGATACGAAATTTCGGGACAACCTAATACTTCCATAGAAACATTAGAGGTCGGTGTTGAGAACATCTGCTCTTACTATGATTACCACTGTTATTATAATTATGATTATCATTATGATATTACTACCATCATTATTGCAAATATTATTACTTTTCCGAACACATGTTTATATCCTTATGAACTGAAACCTCAAAGCTCGAGAGCTCACTTTGACGAGTGCGCTTCCCATTCGTGCCTAATAACAAAAAGTCTGAAGAAGATCTTTGCTATTCAGACTATACTTCCTCACTGAAGATAACCAATAAAAACGTCCACACCAGACCCATTAAAATGCGACGTGAAAGTTTTGTAGGTGTTAAAACCCTTGAATAAATCGCTGAACTTGCAAACCTCAAAGCTCGAGGCCACTGACGAGTGCGCTTCCCATTCGTGCCTAATAACAAAAAGTCTGAAGAAGATCTTTGCTATTCAGACTATACTTCTGTGGCTACACTCGACTATTCGAATCAAGCAGGTGTCAGTGAATCACTGAAGACCACCAATAAAAACGCCCACACCAGACCCATTAAAATGCGACGTGAAAGTTTTGTAGGTGTTAAAACCCTTGAACAAATCGCTGACAGGACCAGTGAACGGAATTGTGATGTGGAGTTCCATAAGCGCTGCATAGTTTTGTTTACTTTCCACCTGGTGTCCACGATAGTCGGCGACACTCTACCAACTTCGCGAAGTAAGGGCACTCGAGCAATTAAGCGCTGTTCTCTATGATCATATTCTTTTGCTGAAAAAAAAGAACAGGACCTTAAAAGGTCCTCACACATGTTCTTTAGATGCCTGAATCTCAACCACCGCTCCGCCTTACATCAGGGTTAGCCACGTAGCATCCACAACAAAGGAGGAGAGACGGCAGCACAAACTGTTGTCGGACGCCTTA